TTTTGAATTTTGAATTAAAAAAAAAAAAAGAAACAAATTTTGAATTTTTTCAAAATCACCAAACGGATCCCAACGAAATATCTTCTCTCTCACCACTCCACATCATCTTTCCCGCCATATTCCTTGTTGCATCACTAACCGTTGGATTGTTGATGAGAAAGAGGGAGAAGAAAGGAGACGAGCTTTTTTCACTTTCTGCACTAATCTTTGAGATATTTACATACATTGCTCAGTGTATTTTACAAATGTATTCTTTTATTGACCCCTCAAACATCTATTTCTTTTTTTTATACAAGGATCAGTACAAGAACAAACCCACCAAGGATAGTGACTAGTGAGTGATAAACACTCAAAAGTGGTACTCAGAGTTTTTGCAACATCTGAATTTGGAACATGTAAAGTCGACATAGAGTAGAGCGATGGTAGATCACTGATTAGTGCCGATCACAAACAATATCTTATAAGATAAACAGTAGAGAGCTTAGAAAATCATTAACTCTACACTGAGAACACACACACACACAAAAAAAACAATACAACTAGAGATGGAAAACACTACCATAGTCTCAGAAGAGAAAGAACAATTCGCGGTGCACATAGATAGATATAACTGTTTGAAATTCATAGGCGATTTATAACTATTTATAAATATCAATTTAGAATTCAATTTCTCGGATTCGTGTAAATACTAAATCAGATCTAGGTTCTATAGTTTCCAATATACATGGATATTCTTGCAGCGGAAAGATGGATTTGAATGATTCGATGTTGCCTAGCACTCCAAGTGTCGTGCTTCTACTGGTATCCACACTCACACAAACTAGATTCGATACATGGTACTAGCGCCGTTGAGATCCGATCACCAAACGTTCTTCACAAGAACTTTTCTTTTGTTAGACAAAGAGAATTGTTTCTTGTCTTTCTCTTATTCACGCCTCACGTCTAATGACTCAATGACTTAAGCATCAAGTATTTCCATATAACTAAACACAATAAAGACTCGATGACTTGTGCATCAAGTATTCCCCTATCATATAAGGTACATGTGTGCTCGTGAAGCAATTACCAATTTCGATTGGTTGTTTCCTTTTTCTA